GAAGATGAAGAAGAAGAAACTATAAAATGCATTTCCTGCTGAAAATGCGTTGGAATGCAAAAAGCTGAAAGCTGAAATGAATATTTAAAAATAGCTGAAAATACAGAAAGTTGAAGGGAATTTGAATACATCTGAAATTACAGATATTAGAAAAGCTGAAATGAATTTGAAATTACTGAAAATACAGAAATGGGAGAAGCTGAAAGGAATTTCAATTGATTTGCTGAAAAATCAGAAATGAAAACAGCTGAAATAAATGTGAAATATGGCAAAAAAAGAATATAGAAATGAATATTAAAACATTGCTGTTAATAGAGGCATAAGAAAAACTGAAATTATTTTAAAGAATTGCTGAAAATACAGGAAGTGGGGAAGCTGAATTCCATCAGATTTTCTAAGAAGTTGCAGGAGCTTAATTGAATTTAAAAAGTACAGAAATAACAAAAGCTGAGATGAATAAAAAGAGGTTTAAAATTGTTTGTAGTAATATTAGTAGTAGTAGTTATAGTTGTAATTGTGGTATTAGTAGTACTAGCAGTAGAGCAGTAATAGTAGGTTTAGTATCAATAGCAGTAGAAACAGCTGTAATACTATTAGCCATAGTAGTATTTGTAATAACATTAGTAGTAGTTGTAGTATTAATAGCAGTAGAAATACTAGTAGTATGGTAGTAGAAGTATCAGTTGTAGTACTAGAAGTACGAGTAATATTCGTAGTGGGGGACAGAATGTTTGTTATTCAAACTAAGACGTTTTTAATTAATAGGCCTCATCACAAACCTTACAGTAAAAATTCCCTCCATGGGGCTTTTATTTTGAAATTATTGGATTGGGTGGGGGGGTGTAGATAGAGGGAGGGTGAGAGGGTGAGGAAGGGAGGGGTGGTGAGGAAGAGATAGAGGGAGAGAGAGAGGAGGAGAAATAGACAGACATACTGACTGAGTGAGTGATTAACAGTGAGTAGAGGTCAGGGTGGAGGGGGGAGGGGGGGCGAGTGTCTTTATCATATTGGTCTGTTGACAGAAAGCATAGCTGCGTCATGTGACTCCACTAATCAGGTCATAGGAGCAGCTGTGAGTCACAGACAGATCCTGCAGCATGTGTACGAGTAACCACGGCAACGGCGCACCTATTGGATTGGGTGGGGTGGGGGGGTGTAGATAGAGGGAGGGAGGGTGAGAGGGTGAGGAAGGGAATGGTGGTGAGGAAGAGATAGAGAGGGAGAGGGGAGGAGAATTAGACAGACTGACTGACTGAGAGTGATAAACAGTGAGAAGAGGTCAGGGTGGAGGGGGGAGGGGGGAGAGTGTCTTTATCATATTGGTCTGTTGACAGAAAGCATAGCTGCGTCATGTGACTCCACTAATCAGGTCATAGGAGCGAGCAGCTGTGAGCCACAGACAGAGATCCTGCAGCGTGTGAGCGAGTAACCACGGCAACGGCGCACCTGTGCTCATTAACGAGCTGCTGCAAAGGGCAGACACAGGACAGCTGTAATGGGAAAATGATATGTGACCCTTTTAAATGCTTCATTCGTATAACCAGTTTATTAGTTGCAAGTGCTTAGGTCACAAAGGCCCTGACATAAGAACTGATGTCTCCCACTTGGATTAGATGTTTCCAGCGGCATAGCTGTAGAGACTGAACAAAGTGTTTGTTATGTCTATGACCACCTTTGTTTAAGCATGTTGGGAGAGCAAGGACACGGTCAAAGAACTGACGTGTCTCACATGCGCAAGGTGTTCCCAGTACCCTGGCTGTAGAGACTCAACAAGATGGTTAACGGTTTCTGTTGACGCCACCGATATCTAAGTTTAGGTATAAGAACTGCCTCGATGTGTTGGGAGGAAAAAGGAGGTTCTTGACAGTCTACTGACCACGTAGCTGTTGTGACCCTTTTTCCCTTGCAAGGAAATAAACGGAGAAAAGACATACTTGACTCAGAGCCTTTGATTCTTACTTAACGATTGTCTGTGCAAAATCTTCCACCACACAGTGAGTTACACAGAATCCACACCTCAAACAAATGACATTCAGCGCAAAACTATAACAGCTATATAAAAAATATGCTGTTTGTGCGAGACCCAAGACTCTACCGAACGCAGGGAGGTGTTATTCATGTCTGTCCGGTAAAAAATACGGCTCCTGACGAAGTTTACAAAACGTGTACCTTCTGGATTTTTTGAGAAATATGTCGGCAGATTTGTATTGGAGCCTATGGGGCTTTTAGCAGAGGTTGTGTGACTTTTGGTCTCCGTAGGCCACAACTAAAGAACTCTGGGATTCCATGAACGCATTAATCCAATCAGCACAACCATGCCCTCATTAATCTGAAGAAATTAAGCCTCTAGAGTTTATACTTTGGCTGCAAGGACAGAAGTTCCATATTTTTTAAACCAGATTCTGCGCTGCTTCACACTCTAGCCCTCGAGGTCCCCACTCTAGCAGACGCAATACACACTCATGTAAAAGTCAGAAACGGAGCGAAGAACTAGTGAAACATAATCAGTGATTATGAAAAAAGTACAAAAGATATCAACAAGCAGTTTTTTTCATAAAATAGTTGAGACTTGTGTCAACATTTGAAAGTTTAAATGGTGTCTGTAGCTGAAAGATTTGTGAAGCTGAAAAATCTGAAAGTTGAAGAAGTTTGGGAGGATTTGAAAACAAACTCCATTTGAAAACCATGTTAAAATATTAATGATTATTGATTTATATAAATTCAAGCATAAGAGGTAGAAAGCTGAAAAGTCATAGCCCTCAAGCCAGAAAGGAGCTGAACATTTTAATATTTGAACGGTTTTAATAGCTGAAAGTGTGAAGGAGTTGAAAGGTGCCGCGGAAGAAATAGAAGATGAAGAATAAAGATTCGAAGAACAATACTTGGAATGCATCGTTAATGCATTCCAACAATAAAGATTCGAAGAACAATACTTGGAATGCTTAATGCATTCCAACAATAAAGATTCGAAGAACAATACTTGGAATGCTTAATGCATTCCAACAATAAACTCGGGATGGAGATACAACATCTGCTCTCTGCCCAGACTGTTATTGAAGTGCAAGCGAAAGGTATTCACGTGACTCGAGTCGACCCATTTGCTAGACGGTACCGAAAGAGCAAACAAACAAGAGCAACGGGGCCATGGGAGGAGGAGGGCATAAACAATCTGACCATTAGAGAGACAACTCGACCGACACACACGATCGAGCAAATGCCCACCAGGTTTGCCGGGAATTAAAGTTACGTGGAGAAAGATTTCTGCTGGTGAACAATGCCGGTCAGAGACATCGTTAGTTCATGCGTGGGGTTGTTGGGTCTCGCAAAGCACTTTCGTACCGATTGGGCCGAAACGATCAAAGTACTTGAGCCCCAGAGAGTGAGTGCATTGCAAAGTTAACATATTTCGTACGGATTCAAAAGAGAATTGATCTTTCCACGCTCGTCCAAACCACTTGCAAGTCCAAATTGATTTGTTCTCCTTTGTGTTCCCCATTCGATAGTTTCCAAAATGATCATCATTTAATAAGACACGAGGGATCAACACATGACCCCCAGGCTAAATATATATATATATATATATATATATATAGATACTTCCCCAGGCTAAATATATATATATATACTTCTTCTCATTATATATATATATATATATAGAATGAGAAGAAGTCAACAAATGTGCAGTTAGCAAATGTATCATCCCCTCTGTTAAATATGTGTGTGTGTGTGTGTGTGTGTGTGTGTGTGTGTTGGTTTGTGTGTTTTTCTTAAGAGGGGTGTCTAATTAGGATGGTGCTTGCAGAGAAACCTCAAAGCTGGCAGACGTTTTGCTCTCCTCAGATAATAGACATCCGGCTCCTGCTGCAGCCACCGTTAACGAGTCCTCCTCTTTACTTCCTCCCCTTGGCTTTCTCCTTCGTCTCCCCCCCCTCCTCCGCCCGTCTGGCTGACCCCTGCAGATCCCCTCGTGCAGCTCAAGGTTTGTCTGGGGAGTTTTGCGGAGCAGTCGCCGGAGGTATCGACTGACAAGTAGCCGTCTATTTCAGCATAATTAGCCCTACTTATGCCAGAGCAGATAACGTGGGCGCTGACAACAAAACACGAACGGTCCTCTGACAACCAGAGAAGCCAGCTGAGCGTGACGCTTGAGGATAACTTGTTTTTATCTTCACCCATACAGCACGTAGTCAGCAGAAAGACAAGAAAGTCTTATTGTCTGAGGGTTCGAATCGAAAGAACTCGAGATGAATTTGAGTGCAACGAATGAAACGCTACATGCGCGACTAGATGGAAGAGGAGCACTTAATGTATCTCATTCGGATGAAATTAACCTCAATCCATCGGAATAACAGTTGCTGACAGGTTAAGGCCAATGAACAAGAAGAATCTGGGACACAGGACCCATCCATCCAAGTGGTGCGTGACTTATTTAAAGTTACAGGGATATCTAACAACAAAACTGTACATAAACTATGTAGTCTAGGACATCTCTTCAGATGTTCCTATATGCGTATTAAAGTCTATCTCCATCAGCGCTCTCATCTCGGCGTGGAGCTCTCGCCGAGACGGTGGCGGGGGAAGAGGCAGAGCGGCGGGCCAGAGAGATCAAAGCCAACTAAAAGTGAAGATCCAAACGGAACTATTACTGCAGCCTTACAGTAGAATTATGCATGCGCTACTATCGCTGCACGCAGAAGAAGTAATCGGCCTTTGCTTTGATGGTATTAAGATTCGTGCTGGTGCTGACGCGGCTCTAACAGCCAGCAGGACGGATGCACGCTGGTGAGGCGCGGGGACGGATCGTGCAAGACGCTTTGTTTAAATCGGCGGACAATTAGGATTACACGGCCTTTACGGCTCAATGGGTGTAGCGATGGGAGAATGTTTGATTGCAGAGAGGAGTTGAGGAATTGAGATCTGGCGTCTCCAAATGGGCTGTCCTCACGCGCTCGCACGGCTACGGCCTGTAAACAAGGTAATGAGGTCTAGATTGCACTCACGGCAGCCTTTCTCGTCGCTCATGTCAAAGCAGTCGGGGAATCCATCACACTGCCACCCACCCAGGACACACTTCCCGTTGCCGCACATGAAGTTTCCCGGGATGTTGCACTCCGTGGTGAAGTTGTTCCCCGGGAGAAGCTGGCTCTCTGGTGACACACAAACAGAACAACACAGGCAGACAAGAGAAAGAGAAGCGATTATTAAACCCGAGATATTGCATTCCCCCCGCGATGTGCATCAGCACAATCAAACAGGAAGACAGTTATTATCTCCATTCACTAAAGATAGCAAGAGAAGCAATAAAGGCAGTGTCTCTCTTTAAAAAGCTATATCAATCTCGTTGCAAATAAACACAGTGCGACATCGTGAATACAGAACGGAAGCGGGGGGTCATTCAGTGTTAACAGCGTGGTGTGCGTAAGAACCAAGTTTAGCGCTTGGCAGTTTCCCAATCGAGCAGATGACACATCCAACAACAATCCCATGCAACAAAAAAAAAGAAGGAGGACGTGGTGCCTCGGACATAGACGCATGTGTACACATACACACACACACACACACACACACACGCGCGCGCGCACACACAAACGCACACGCTGACCAGGAATCAAAGCCACATGTGCCCCGAGCTTATTCCGGGAATTTCTAGTTGACGCAGTGCAGCTGTGGTATAATGGTCTGGAATGTGAAACATGGTCTATTTGCGGAGGTTTGATACTATGCGGAGAACACTTTAAGCTCGTAAACAACGCTATAGGGCGGTAATGAGCAGCTCGGGACAGGCCCAGGAACACTTCTATGCTGCAGTGCTGGACACCTCATTTCACTATGGAGTAGGACGGAGGAGCAGTGGACCTTCAGGCCTCAAGTGACGGTGTTCTTAACCAGTAACTCTTTCTTACACCACGCAGATAAATATTATTATTTCTAAGAGATCATTCAGAAATGCCATATTTCAGAGCGTTCAAAGGGATGAAACATGTCATATCACAGTGCTGTTTGAAGACACGGCCTCTGTTCTTTCTTCATGTCAAAATAAATCATATAAATTAATTCACTTTGTGCTATGCAAATACGTGAATACTGCCTTCCCGAAAAAACAAAACAGATAGTGGACTGTTTGTGTTTTCTCATTAGTGTCACCTGTGTGGTGGAAAATTTCAGTGATTACAATACAAATCCCAACAGGAATACAAAAACAACCAAATGTCACTACATCTATTTTAGAAAAACACCGCCATATTCCCTCAGTCTCCCCCCAGCTCGTCCCTTCCTGTCCTTGTTCATTTCCGTCTGCTCTGTCAATGTCGGACACCCTTAATTCTCATTCTGACTCGTTCCTCATAACGTAACCTTGATGTTATAGTTCCACACTATGGATTCCTACCAGCAATGAAATAAAATGCCGAAAATACATCACTTTGGAACTTTACAACTCGGCTGTCCCGTTCCATTGGTCCTATGAGCGCGGCCGAGCGGCGCAGCCCTCCAGGCGCTGATTTGGAGGTCACAATCATGCCAGCGTATCCCAGCATGCAGTGCGGGCCCGGCGAGAATTTAGTTTATTCAGGACGGAAGCAGCGCGGGGGAGAGTTCAGATTTAAATGTAATGTTAAGTAACGTTACATATTAGTTCATAAAATGGCTTAAGCTAGGTGACGTTGGTAACCAATGTCGTATCTATGTCGTACAAAAAAAGGTACTTTAACGCCTCAACTCTAACAGTAACAGTAACATAACCACCTCATTACAAAGGTAACTGTGGCCGCACAGCTCATTAGAGACTGCTCTGTGTGCTTATTAACTGAATAATAGCAACGCCGGCGAGGTCACCGGGACAACGTGAACGGACATGACAGCGCGTCCCAGCACAGGAAATCACTCACCGCCCAAACCACCGGTGCGTGTTGTTGCTCGGAGCAACTGTGGTCCCTCGGTGAGTGTGTGAGGGAGAGCCGGAGGAGATAAGGCAGGGATGACGCCGGACGTCTATGTATCTTGCTGGGGGAAGTGTAGACCAATTACTCGGGGTAAATATTGACTATACTATCCTTGCCTGTGCACACCCACACCTTCCCCATCCGCCACTATGTTTGTGTCCACTAAGGTCCTATTTGGACCGTTCAATCATATAGCGCAGAATCTTTTTATTTCTTTTTATAATTAGCGTTTACATTCAGGCTGAGTTTCACAGGCTGAAATTCTTCACTACATCTCTTTGGTCAGCTGCTGTTGCTCTCTGAGCACAGTGCACCTCTCTTACCTCTATTATAATTTAAAACAGAACAAAAACTAATTTTCCAGTTCTGGATAATACTAAAGGCACATCTGGAATAGTTTTGAATATTTTCTATTAAAAAAAAAGTAAATGTTTATTTTACATTAAATAAAAAATAGGGGACACCTAGAGGGGACTCCCCACTCTAAGTGGGGAGATGTTTATTTGTCGTGCATGGAGTAATATTTGTCATAGTGATGAATACTAATGTTAAGTTCATATTCTTTAGTTAATAAATATATAAATAATATCTCCAGAGGTAATAGGCCGTTAGCCTTTTAATACTTATTGTTTGATGTTACAGTATTATTGGTCAGTTGTGTATTCACGCTTTATAGCCAATGGTGATTGGTTTGGAAAACAACGGGGAAGACACGTGACTGGAAAGTGCTGGAAGTTTTGTGTATTTGTGAGCCTGGAAACGGAGGAAAACCGAAGCCGAAACCCCGTTGGACGGAGCGGAAGAGAAGCAGCAGAGGTCGCCATCGAGGGAGCCGAGCTTGCTAGCCACGGTGCGCGAGTTTCCACGCTCTCAATTTTTTGACAGTGATTTCAGGACACTCAATTTTTTGCCAGACCAAACAGGCCTACAACGTGTTTTTTTCCCCCCGTACATATCGTTGCCGTAAGTAACTGGAACATGTGTGGCTGTGTGTGTGATTGGGCCCAACACCGCATCGGCTAATACTTGTTTCAAGTATGATTGGAGGGGGGAGTTTTTGTTGTTATTGTTGAGAACTCTGGTATTCTCCGAGTTGTGGAACGGGAACATTTCGACCATTTATTTTGATGTAACGTCATTGATACTAGTGGGGTGTATCACTGAATTTAGAGTTTATTATTTACGTTTTGGGGAAGTTTTGGTCATTTATTTTTGTCTATTTGGTAATATTGTGTTTTGGGGGAAAGTAATTATTGTATTTAAATAAACAAGGGCGTTACCCTATTTATTTTACTTTTGTTAAAATAACAACCATCTCTGGGTCTCATTATTTTTTAAATAGCTTCTTGTTAAAAGGTTTTACAATACATCGAACCCAAGCACCCCCCATTCTCACGTGAGTGACTCACAGAGTGGTGCTACAAAAGTAGATGTAAATGTCAAAGAATTCTGATCAGATGGTTTTAGCACCCTTAATAAAATAAAATAATAAAATGTCAATAATCCTGCTTGTGTGTTATTAGATTTAAGGTGAGGACAGCAAAACCTGCATCCCTCAGAACAATCCCTCAATAGTCTAATATTGTCATCCCCATTCCAGTCGGGGAAGCCAATGCAAGAGTGTCCTTAAAACTTGTGTCTATGGAAACATGACCCTGCCTTTCACTTGATTTATTACCTCAGTAAACACAGGTTTCAAGTCTTCTTCCGCATGAGATCATGTAGATCTTTGGAGCCAAATACTGTTTTAATTAGTTAAAATTGGGTTAACCAGAGTTTGTAAAAGGACGCAAACCGCCGTGCGCTGGTCTTGCCCTAACCCGGGCCGACTCCATCGTCAATGTAAACATTGTTTTTCCTGGAGATGTTACAAAATATAATTTTTGAAAGGTGTTTTTCTCGTGCTGGTAAAATTGTTCAAAAGGAAAAAAAAGTTCTTCATCGTCTGAAAACGTGAGCAACTGGCTTGCAGAAGAGTAGGAAAATGCAAAGTCAGAGAAATGGATAAGAAAGTGGACGTTAAAAGTAATTTTGTCATTGGGTAATTGCTCAACCTGCATCACTAAAATATTTTTTCTTTGACTGAGATTCAAAGGAAATCCAAAGGAAATGTTTTTTCAGACTAAAAAGTCTGAATGCTAGACCACATTACCTCACTCTTAACAGAGAGCCTTACCACTGAGGATATGCTGCATTATGCAAATGCTGCTCCCTGATAAAAGAGAAATGCTGAACCAATATTCACGTGCTGCATGTTAACTTGCTGTTATTCCGGGAAAATGCCTCTCATATTGTTTCTGAGAAAGTTCTATTCCCTGTCCTCTATGCTTGAAAGGACAGAGATACAAATCCATATCTGAGATGGCCTAAGGCTTAGCTGTGACTGCTTTCACCCGTCTTCTTCAGCAGGCTGAGATAGCCCACTTGCGTGGACTAGCCCTGGGTCAAAGGTCGAGCCTCGAACCGAAATGGCAGCAGAAAATTGATTTGATTTGATCTTGTAAGCCAAAGTAGAATAAAGCTGAAATTCTCCAAAAGATGAACCGCCACAGAAATAACACCACATTGTGTCCTCAATAACAATGTGTAAAAAAAGCAAGTCAAGTTACATTCAGCCTGGTAATGTCCACGCAAACATGAACAGAATGTCTGCTTGTGTTGAGGACAACGAATCAATATGGCCAAGTGCTGAACAGGTTTTATTTAGGTTAAAGGATGAAAACGTATTTTTCATTTGCACACAAGTCCTAATGGGCTGGCTACACAAGCAGGCTCTAAAGCGTAGCAGGGCGGGAGGAGGTCGATTCGCTTCCATTGTGTGTGAAAGAGAAAGAGAGAGAGAAAGAGAAATAGAGTCTCCATCTTGTTCCTCCAGCTCATTGAGACGTCAAGTAAGCCAAAATGTAAAGGACCTGGTGTGCATTAATTAAAGACAATGCTCCGGACTGAACACCACAGCAGCACAAAGCAACAGAGCAAGCGAGAAATTGATGGGCAGAGACGGAGCGAAGGGCAGCCTTGCGTGAAAAAAGAAAGTACAACAGAATAATATTGGCTATATGTTAGCCTCTATACCTCTTTCTGCTCGGCCTGTTCTTCTCTTAAAGACACATGGAAATAGTTTAATTGCAGAAGGTTCTGTGAATCTGAGTATTGGAGAAGAGGCTTCATCATCTGCAACGTGATTATTTGCGGCGCAGAAAGTTGAGGCCATAAAAATGTTAAATGAGCAACTGAACTAAAAAGACAAAGTTTGAATCTTTAACTCATTTCAAAAGGGAGCTCTTAAAATAGGTTAAATTACAACCATGAATAGTTGCAATGCAGATCATGTAATTAGGCTTAAAATGAACTAACGTCATTAAGATATCAAGTCCTAGATAATAACATTTGAACACTCATATTAATATGATGTGATGCATCCTTATGAAAACCTTCCTATTAGACATACATATTATTTTTAGACACATCATTAAACATGATGGTGTGCAGCAGGATAAACCCTAGTTACAGTGTGTCACAACAGACATCTGTTTGAGTAATTCAGTAAACTATATATTATTGTAATCTAGTGATCATTAGTTATGTGAAACATTAGTTGATGAAGCACAAACAATTTAAACGGACAGATTAATAAAACAAATCAATAAAACCTGGGGATCAGGTTAATTGGGGACTCTAAATTGCCCATAGATGTGTGAATGTGAGTGTGAATGGTTGTGTGTATCTGTATGTCTCTGTGTAGCCCTGCGATTGGCTGGCGACCAGTCCAGGATGTACCCTGTCTATCGCCCGAAGTTGGCTGGGATGGACTCCAGCCCCCCCCACGACCCTGTGTGCAGGATAAGCGGTTCGACAATGGATGGATGGATCGGGAGATTAATAAAACAATAAGGCTCTCGCTCGAAACGGCTGCTCTTGTCCGCCTGTCGTTGTTCAACAAGCGGGGCGCCCTCTTAGTATTAAAGTAAATATACCGCATTTTCCGCACTCCAAGGTGCACTTAAAAGGCTTTAATTTTCTCAAAACGACAGTGCCTTATAATCCGGAGCGCCTTATATATATGAATCAATTGGTTAATCGGTTTTCTCTACAGTAGCTGAACCATCTTAACGGGGAAAATAAATTAATCTAAAAGCAGCCCGAAGATTTAAGGCGTGGATGGCGAGGGGGCGGCGGGAGCGGACGCACCTCGCGGCATCGACCGGACCCTGAAAGCACCGTCTCCACCTTACTGTCAAAAAGAACAAGCGTGTAGAAAACTCCTTCGAGCGCGAGCAGAGATTCTCCTCGCGAGCAACGAAGTTCACGTTTCGCAAGCGAGCAAATACCTCGCGGAGACAGACTTTTGCTGGCGCAAGACAGACTTTTGCTCGCGGATGTTTGATTTTGGTTAAATTCTTAAGGTCATTTAATCATTATGTTTTGATCAGAGTTGTGATTAAAGGTTTGGGTGGGCCGCGAAAGATTTTCAGATTTCAAAGTGGGCCGGGGCATTCTTGAGTTTGGAAACCGCTGCTCTATAGGATCACTCAATATGTAGGCCATATCTTTCTTTCACTGCAGCGTCTAATTTGTAGCACACTCCAAAAATAAGACTTGCCCGTCAGAGAAAAATAGACAAGGGGGACTTTCTGTCAGAGCATCTGTTGTTCCCAGAGCAGACGGTTGTGAATATTAAAGGCCGGACAGCTTTGCTGCTCATAATACTTCTAATTGGTGGTGCAAAGGATCGTAAAACTCAGATCAGCCCAATAGAAAAAAGAGTGCAAACTTTTAGAGATTCCTGATCACGTTATTTTGCCGCCGACACTAATTGCTGATCCGTAGTCAGAGATACAGATCCCTTTGTGGTTTAATTACAGCAGCTGGTCTGCGTAAAACATCATTCAAACCACTCCTAAAAAATTGTAGGGGTTATAATTTCTTTGTTTTAGTCACCATGTTGTTGTTTTTTCTTTAAAATGCATACGATACAAATTATTAAGAAATAAAACAAATAGATATATAAATAAATCTTGTCAATGCTAGTTTTAATGACGGGTTATAGTTCCTGGTATATCTATCAGGTCAAAGTTCAACATGCGAGTAGATCGCCAAAATAAAAAGAATATTTACAGCACTCTATTTGGTAAACAACTTGACATTTCACTTTTAAGTTAAGTGCATAATATTATAATACTGAAGTGCTGCCTTGTTGAAAACTAGAGTCATCTGCTGTGCTACGATGGATTTATCAGCAGTGACAGCTGCGAGCGATGAACATCCGAATCAGCGTTATTCTAAAAGAGAGGGATGAGGATGTAAAACCGTTGCTGACATCTTGGTGTCTCATGAAATCACTTGTGGTAATTAAGGAAGAGAAGTCAGTCAGACAGACAGCTGAAAAAAAAAAGATGGATATGATGTGGTTACAGAAACCGATCTTGTGTACAGCACTTCATATGTAGTAGGGTTGTCACGATACCAACATTATGACTTCGATACTATACCTGCCAAAATTTTACGGTACCCGGTACACAATACGACACCACAAATAGGAAACTGGAATATTTATCTATTATAGTAATAAATAAAAAACTGTAAGTTTCCCTTTTTTACCTGGCATCTGTTTGACTCTGTGGGATAAACAATGCTTAATTTATTGCATATAGAGTTTGATATTCTCACATTCATATTTTCTTAACGAAAAATAAAAAGAGATCCACATCCAATATGGATAACAGTTTCTTCAGTGACCTTCCCTCCAACACCTTTTCCAAGCTGTCCTGTTTGAAGCCAATGATGGAGCCGGCCTTCTTAACAAGTTTGTTAAGTCTGTTGGTGTCACCGGCTCCAATGCTGCTCCCCCAGCAGACCACGGCGAAGTACAAAGCACTGGCCACAACAGTGCCCGATAATAGCATTATTACAGACGTTGAAGGATAACTGTGATTTCAGAGAGCATGACTCAGAAAACCAACACCCTTTTATTTCCTCAAACTCCCCTTATAAACAACCCCCCCCCCCCCCCACACACACACAAATCCAACTCAAAATCAAGCAGGCTGCACCACATGGGTCTGGCAGAAGATAGTTTGCTTGAAGCACAGCACGAGGCTGTGCGACGTGCGAGATGCCTTTTCAAACCATCTGTGGTCTGCATGGATGCAATCAAAATATGTTTTGTAGAATATGCACTTTATGATACTGTGTGTGTGTTTACTTCTTGCCTTAGCTACCATTTCATTGGTTTTGCCTACAGGCATAGAGTCAGATCTCAGTTCTTTCCTTCCCTTCAGAGGCGCCGACCTTTTGCTCCGCCAGCATTGAGGGCTTTCCAGCGTTTGCAAGGTTAAAAATATAAATGAGGAATAAAATGTCAGTTAACAGATCTTATTTCTGGTTTCAGAACAAAAGCAAAAATGTCCCATCAGAATGTGACCACCCAGCAGCCTGCAGGCATCCAGAAGGGGCACAGAAAAAAAAAAAAACTCTTAAAATCCTCCGCCTTGTTTAAGAGGCTGGATTATTGATGGCACATCTGTGGGCTGAAATCGCAGAACAAGACAGAGACACAGAGAGACAGAGATAGAGCGAGGATGTACTAGTTTGATGAGTCACATTGTATTATTGGTATTATTAGTAATATTTGTCTTTTTGTCAAAAATGTATGTATTATTTGTAGTGTGTCAGTAGTAATAAAGCACCACTTTTGGGGGGTAGGAGGAGTGGGGTGGGAGCTGTGCATGTGACCTTTGACCTCGTGCACGCGCATGCGTGCGTGTACAAGTGGGCGTAACCGCCGCCATTTTGCGGTCATGCCCGGAAATGCGTCATTTTACGAGTGGAAACGGAAATACGTCATTTTGGGGCGTGATTTGTAGGGGGGCGTGCACTGTTTAAGCATAAATACGCCATTTTGACGATGACGTGCAGGGTTTTGATTGGAAATTCGCCATTTCAGGGTGTGTTTTATGCGATGGGCGTTAGTTTTGACCGGAAACACGTCACTGTAGGAGGGGTTTCATCATATATATAGATGTGTCGCCTCCACCACCAACGCACTCATTTTGGACTCATCCTCTGTTGCTGCTGTTGCTGCTGCTGTTGTATCCGCTACTATTGCCGTGCACTCGGATTCTTTGCAAAATGCAGGCTGCATATCGCATGGAGCAGGCCCCAGAGACTGACATAGGTATGTCTACAGAAAATAGACCATGCTATGCAGATGTAGATGCTCCCCAGCTCCGGAAAAAGCGTGAGGGATGTCTTTCTAGAGAGCCTGCTGTAGAGCTAGAGCTGGAGGGTGTTTATGGGTACGTGTATAATGTTAAATACTATGATGGCACGGTCACGATGATTTCTAGAATCAAGGCCCAAGACAAGCTAGGAGGGGGTGTTGGTGAAACAGTTGATGATGAGGCTGTTGTGGGGGGTCGACATGGGTGTATGTCTGTAAAAGACTGGCAGCAGTTTCAATCAATTGTCTGCATAGATATTGAACAACCAGGTTTTCTAGAATCTCTATACTATGTTCAGTGGTATAGTACAACAGAGCCTAAAATACACCATCTCACGGCAGATCGGTACAACAGACGCCCTGACGATTTCATTTTTTAAAATGTTTGTGAAGACAGAGAGTATGTGGTAGCTCAAAGAGGCCGCCGAGGATGGAGAGAGCATCCGTACCCTCTTACCATTGAAGAGTTTAATATATGGTTCCCCCTCGTGTTCTTTGTTCAGTGGTGTGACTGGCCCGCTCTGCAAAAAGTGTTTAGTCAGATTGACAAAGCTATCCAGAGAGACAGCGTCAGCAAGGCTTACTGGGCTGTTAGAAAACACCTTGTTTACGACAATACACCGAGCGGTGTGGAACCTGGTATATCTACTACCATGTGTAGACCGAAAATAATTCACCCCTCAACCATCTAAATGAATGACAGGTGGGTTACGCTAATGTTGTGTATATATTTCTGTCACTGATGTTAATTCATGCAGAATCATAAAAAAAAAATGTTTTTGTTTAGACTCGGAAATCTCAGGGTCCCAGGCGGGCTGGACTCCTCCCAATTCTCCTTCACCTCCAGCTCTGATGGTTCACACCCCACCTCAGACTCGCCTCCCGGACCGACGGCCACACAGGAAGAAGAAGAAAAGAAGTTCTGTGAACCTCACGAGGTGTTTAAGGATACTGCACGGTTCCTAGAATACCTTAGAATCGGGGTGCTACATCTGTTGAACAAGGTCTGGGTTAAATATAATATAGAGATCTGCTACGGCTGTCAAACAAATAATCCCAGTCAGAAAAAACATCCGTGTTTATACCCCTGTGACTGGTTCTACGAACTACACTTTGATACGCTGATGAAAAGGCTCTGGAATGAGAACTTCATTTCCGCCATCCTCCTGTTTATGGATATGAATGACCTTCAGGTCGATGCAGACCGCATCCAGGGGGGTGCGGAAGTACTTCTTGACGAGCTGAAATCTGGAGGCAATGCGGCTGAAAGTATCCAAAAAATGTATGATACACTGATCCGGGAAGATGAACTCAAAATGAACCAACTGAAAAAGGTGGGCATGTTGTGGGTAGAAGTACCAAAGGTGTATGAAGCATGGGAGGTACCCGATGATGATGATGATGATGATGATGATGATGATGATGAAGATGCGACAGACATTGATGTGTAAAAACAATCAAACATGCTAAAAAAAAAAAAACGTCCACCATAGGACACGGCACGATGACCCAGAATGGTTTTTATGTTACACTGCCTTGTAACGCGTCGGCTCAGGTTTATCCTAAAAATCAGATATGGAACTACAGGACAAAATTAGCCAAGGCCATTGTTCTGAGCGAACCACATGAGGTGGGGTTGGTAGAATTCCAGTATCCGAGAGTGTGGTACAGTTTTCCGAAAACAGATGCGGTTGTAAAAGTGTACAATGGTAAAAACAGGGTCGCGACAATATTGGGTTTTAAAGATGGGGAGGCTTTTCCCCTACCGACTACTGACAGATCCTATACCACCCCCTATCCCGCCGATATACACGCAGGTTGTTACACATTATACATATATGGCGATATTGTTGACTATCAATTATTGGGGGACAGCCATGTACCGCTTCTAAGATGTATAAATGTGGCGGACGAACAACGGCGCATACCCACTCTGACTTACGACAGGCCGCAATACACATCTCTCTCCAAAAACGTTATTGATGATCTTGAGATATCCATAAAAAACGATCAGAATGGATACATAACCTTTTTATACGGAAAGGTCAAGGGAAGCTACATTTCAGACCTATAAAACAGCGTTTCTAAAAAGAAAAAGAAAAAAACTATTGGAAGATGAGGAATAGCCACTACACACACGATGACGGCCGATATATGGCATATTATGTGAACCAAGCCGGCGGAGAACTACCGGGATTTATAGGATCTCAGACACAATATGCCAATGGTTTGGGGGGTATATTTCGGGGGCTGCTCAGGATGGCCCTTCCTCTTTTAAAACGGGGGTTCAGCCTGGCTAAACCACATTTGAAAACAGCCGCTACTAACATCATCGGAGACGTTGTATCAAATATAGCCAAAGGACAGTTCTCTGGGGCTCAACAACAACCAGAGCAGCAGCAGGGTCACGGCATGCTAATACACACCCGCAGGGCTTTGAAAAGACCCCCCACAGGCAGGGGAGGTGCGGGGCCAGGGACCAAAAAAAGTAAAAGGGATGTTAGGAACAAGACAGGAGTCAAAAAGAAATCTGGCACAGCCCGAAGAGGTTCTCAGATAAAACCCACCCGGATTTTGGCTAAAGACATATTTTAGAGGTAAAAACTATGGCGCTCATCCATAATCAGTCGGCGGAGTGTGTCAAGTCTGAACTGGATCTCTTTACTGTTCCTTATACACAAACGTCCATAGAGAAATATTCCTTCATCGAGATCCCGCCAGTCTCATCCATTACAGACAGAGGCCCTTTGGAGTTTCATATTTCGGCCAGCGGTGAAGATTACCTGGATCTGAACAACACCTTTCTGTATATGCGTGTAAAGATAACTAACGGGGCTGGTGGCTGGGGCAGCTGATGCTGATGTCGCTTCATAAATTACCCCGGATGTACCTTATTCTCCCAGGTTGATATCATGCTAGGGGATAGGCTCATTTCACAATCTTCAAACACCTACTCATACCGAGGCATAATCGAATGTTTGATTAATTACGGGAAAGACACCTTGGAGACGCAGTTTAGTGCAGCTCTGTTTAGTAAAGACACCGCGCAGCATATGGACGAGACGTCTATAAAAGGGGACAACGAGGGGCTGGCCGCGCGAGGAGGATACACCGTTGAAAGCCGTATAGTGGAGTTAATTGTACCAATACATGCCGATTTGTTTTTTCAAGAGAAGCTGTTGCTTAACGGCGTTGATATTTCCCTGAAATGTATACGGTCAAAAGACGAATTCTCTCTGATGACGGCTGCAGCGGCTCAATACAAGGTCAAGATAGTCGCCGCTAGTGTATTTGTAAAAAAGGTCTCTGTAGCTCCGACGGTCCGACTGGCGCACAGCAGGGCTCTTCAACACACAAACGCCAAGTATGCCATCGACAGAGTAGCGCTGAAAACATTCTCCATTCCGGCGAGGACCCGAGTCTGCAACCAGGAGAATCTATTCATGGGACAGATCCCTAAATTTATTGTTTTAGGGTTTGTTGACAACGAAGGATACACGGTGTTAAGAGTGTATGGATGCATGTAACTGTTTCCTGATTCCTGAGTCATGTGATATTGAGAGCACCACTTCCATATAAGGGCAGTGTCCCCGCCCCTTTTCTCTATGTGTAACCGTCTCTCCCGTGAGCGGGCAGTTTAGCATGTCGTGCCTGCATTAAACAATGCCACGAGTTAAATGGCTGAAGAGATAAACGTCTGGACGTCCGTTCATTCTCTGGTGTCATTGTTCCGCCGCGCAGGTAGGCCAAAGGAGTAAGCCTACCTATCAACACACGGGTAGTTATACACGGAATCCCTTCAATTTCCAACACTATGACACCGAGTTTTTAAGCATTTACGCTGATGGCCACGCATATCCAGCGAGACCGCTACAGCCACTCTTCCAGAGCGGCCAGTACGTGAGAGAATATTACCACATGATTCAAACAGGTCGACATTTAAAAGACAGATTGCTGGCTGTAACACGGGGTGATTTAGGTCACGGTTACTCGCTGTTCTTTTTTAATCTGGAGCCTGACGGCGGGCAGTCGGGGAACGTGTCACTAATCAAGACGGGGAATGTGCGCCTGGAGGTCCGCTTCAGAACAGCCCTTCCTCGTACCATAAATCTCATATGTTATTCTGTTTTTGACTCCGTTATCGAGATATCAAACCAACGCCAAGTCTTGGTGGATAACTTTTAAACACCATGAACACCATAGAGCTGACGAGTATTGTTCGAAAACGGGTTTTTAGGGGGGTCGATTTTATGGGCGTGTTAGCGTGTGACCAGCTGCCTATGAAGGCTTTGCGCAAGTATCCGGTGATGACTAAATACGCACCCGTCAAGCAGCCCCGGAGAGCATTGGTTGGCGATTTATATCACAAAATACAAGCATAGCTATTTCTTTGACAGTTTTGGAAACACTCCTGATTATGAACAGTTTCCAAAAGAAATTGTTAATTTTCTCAATTATAACTGTACGGCTATGTCTTATTCTAGGAAACAGGTTCAAAATAATTTTACTACAACCTGTTGTCAACATTGTGTGTTTTTTCTATGTTATATACAAAAAGGCTGGTCTTATTCACGAGTTTTAAGTTTGTACGGACCTAATCTAGTCAATAATGATGCGATGGTCTGTCGTTTTGTTAACAAAATCCAACCCTCTGGGTGTTGTGAGGATGCTTTTACGTGTGTACAATGTGTGATCTAATGATAAACTATCCTGTGATACATTTTAGGAATAAAATATATAAAGACAACTTTCAGCAGTGAAAACCAATTTTATTTTTCCATCCACAAAGAACAGACTAACAGATAATACACAAGCATTACAAACACTTGTAGAAAGTTTAAAAAAAATAATAATAATAATACACAACCATTACAAATATTGTGTCATAAAAAAAAGAAGTAATATGCATCCAGTACAAGCTTAAAAATAATAATAAAAAGACATGTGTCACCCAGTAATAGCACAACACATCATAAAAATCTTCCCACGAATCATCACTCCTAAAAAATTTAGTCTTTAGGGATTTCGGTGTCTTAAAGGGGGTGCTGTCTATAGATCGGCTGGTCCTAGTTTTTGTTTTGAATGACCCCGAAACATTAAAACCCCCGTCATAAACTGCATCACCCCCCTTATATTCAGCAATAGACCTCCGAACCTGCGTGTTGGGGATAGCAGATAGGGGGATATTTAAATCTGGTAGTGTTTTTAAAAATATCTTCACCACCATCACCAGATCATACAGATGTGTGCCTTTGATCGTTTGATTGTTGACAACGATCTCCCCACGGTCCGTCCAGGCTATGTCGTTTTTTGCGTGGTTCAAAGCATCCAAAATATATTTGGCATGTTTTTTTACTTTTTTTAGGTATGTGCCTGATCACATTGCCTAAAATCACATCTTTTCCTGGTACGTCGTCTGCTGACAGGATTTGAGACCGAGTCCCTTTCACCGGAGGGTAGTGGTAAAGGCAACGCCCCCTTCTCACGCTCTCCCTGTCTCACCACAGCCAAGTATCTTTGTAAAATATCGGAATATTTTTTGGCTTTTTCGTACATGTCTGTATCAGGTTGATTCAACACGTCAATCATAGCTCTATCAAGCTCATTTTGCACCGCCTGTCTTATAGACCCTCGTTGATCCTGCTGATGATGCTGAGGTAAAGCTGAGGCTGCTGCTTTACTAGGCCAATCTGATGCTGGGGGACCAGAAACATTTTTGGGGTGTGCTCCATTTTTTAGCCACGCCTATTGACAAGACTAATTATAAACAGAATAGCAGCTCCTAATAACGGTAATAAAAAGCCCCCCGACTGGTTGAGGGTCTTTTTCTTCTTGGTCCGTTTAACTTTTTTATCCGCCACCAGTCGGATAATCTTCTTCTTCTTCTTTAAGAGGGCGAATTGTTTGTCGGTCAAAGGAATGTTACCTCTCAATACATTGAGTGCGATCTCACACAGAGAGTCGATAAAATCCGTGCTTGCATTATTAACAATGACACGTCGCACACGACGCATAGATTTATATATCAACTCCAACAATGACA